TACGCTTCTGTAATATTTCAATCACTCGAGAGAACAAGTACGAATCGGATAGCCCAGTGAAATACAATGTCAATCAAACAAAATATGAACAACAAGAAAGGATAAAGAGTTAATAAATCATGCCTTTATCAAATTTCTTGCCATCCGGGTCCAGCTTATCGACCACAAAGATGTCCTCAAAAAGCACTATATTTGAAGACATCTTCCTGCACCCCAAATTTCTTGAAGTTTCTCGGCGACCAACAGAGAAAGAGAAGAGGGTTTTATAATCTTAGTCTAGGGTTTTGGCTGAAGCAAGTTTGGGAGAGAAACCAGAAGAGACTTCAGTGCTCGAGCAAGACGGTACACAAAACAATTTCATTTGTACGCAAATAATTAATTTAGCTTTCACGCCGCCGACCGAGGGAAATTATTAAGTAACTTGGTGGTCACAAATGCTAAATCACCGCCAATGAGATTACTGCTTTGCGTACGAAGGAAACCATCGAGGTTTTCTCGTAATTAACAGCTATTTTTAGGGTTATTTTAGGACCAAATCGCGAAAACACGGCGCACGTGTACCAAATAAATCGCTGTCCTTCCCTTAAAAAATAAATAAATAAAATAAAATAAGTTTATATTAATTTTTTAAAAAAAAAAAATACCTTAATTTATTAATTACTAATTTAATCGGTAATTTAAGAGTCATAATAATAATGAAAAAATGTATTATAAATAAGAAATTATTATTATAATCAATAATTTAAAATAATATAATATATTTTTATGTACTGAAATCAACAAAATTATTAATTTTGTACAACATAGTTTATCTTGCCTGAAAATTAGTGAACGGGTAATTAGAGAAGACGTGGCGTCTTTTTATTGGTTGGGTGTTCCACTCAGCAATGCTGAGTCATGCACTTAATAATTTCTCCTCACCAAGTCAGCAACCGTCCATGTAAAGCACACGATTTCGTTATCCACTTACAGAACTCACTTCGCTCAGCAATGGCTGCTTCTCCTTCGCCTCTGCTTCTACCTCTTGGTATAATTTGACTTATCTCTATTCTGTTCACCTTAAAAATCCATTTTTCAGAATCTTCAGTAAATGCCAATAACCCAGTTGTGAAAAGTTAAATTAATTTTCTTAAGAATAGAATATGTTGTTTTCTTCATTACCTACTTGAATTCTTTTAAGAATAGAAAATAATTCTACCATTTCTCTTCCTCTGTATCATTCTTATTTCTTGTCTTTTTCCTTCCTTTTTAATTTCCAAATGTACCTTTTAGAGAGCATCCACAAATCATTATCTTGTTGTACAAGCATTTGCCAAAGAGGTTTTCTTTTAGGTATAATGGATTTTTTAGGGTTTCATGAATTATTTGTTGCTTTTAACCAAATGATAATGCCAATACTCTTTTTTGCCTTCTTTATTTTATTTGGGCATTGAATCATCCGCCTCCCAAAAGAGAAAAAGCTATGGAAGTATCACATAATCTTCAATATCCCTTGAGTTTTTTAATTTCTGGAACAATTCTTCTCATATTTCAAGACTTTCATTTTCTTAAGCACAATAAAAATCTGTACTTCGGGTATCACTAGTATTACTGGGAATTTTCTGCTTTGATTGTTTGTGCAAAACAAAGCCAATGCTTATCCAGTTTGGCAATACTTTATGGCCATGCAGCGATACTTTATTTGTGCATCATCCTCGTTTATTCTTAAGTTGATTGTTTTTCATACATTTCAGTTAATTCGTATTTATGATATCTTTTTAGTATTATTAGACGTACTTAGAACATAATATATATACTAATAACAATTCTAAATATCACATAATCACTGCTTTGAATTTTTTTACTTTTGGATGTGTGGAATCTGAAAGGAGGTTAATGGAACTGTATGAAGTCTTTAGAAATATATACAGCTGAATAATAATTCTATATGTAAATTGTAATCCAGATTTCTTGTAAACTGCTCCCATTAATTTGTAGTCGAGCATATAACATTACCTCATGTCCCACATCGTTGGTGTAAGAAGAAAAGCTGGATGTATATTTGCAGCCCAAGGCTGAGTCTACATTTTCTATGAACCGATGTATAGTTTCACAGCTTCAGTTGTATAGTTTCCTCCTACTAATGCAACACTAATGCATGTGTTCCATCCTGTGTTAGGCTCTGCTTCTTGCAAAAATCTGTCTGTTAGAAAACAACACAAAGTTGGAGGTCTAACTGTGAGGTGCTCAAATTGTGATATTAGAACTAAAGCTTCAACATTTGGAGAACACAAAGGTGACTTGACTCTTGTTAATCGTCGGGATGTGATGGGGTTGGTTCTTGGTATCTCGAGCTTGTTTATGAATTCATTTGACGCCAAGGGAGCTGGGTTGCCCCCAGAAGAGAAGCCAAAGCTATGTGATGACACTTGTGAGAAAGAGCTTGAAAATGTATGGTGAGATTACATATCACCCTTGTCTTTGTTATCTTTCTTTTCCTTTTGCAGTTAGAAAGTGCCAGTTTTTCTTTCCTCGAAGCACCCTTCCCTGAGTAATAAAGACATGTCCTTAACATATGTTCCTCAAATGACTACAATTGAGGAAATGATTGGTGTAATTAAGTTGTGAAACTTGAAGCATCAAGGAAAAACAGGAGATTAAGGCAGTAAATTAAGAGAGTTGCAAGCTTATCTGTTGCTCAATGCCTGAGCTGATGTTCAATTTTGTGCCTTGCCAAAGATTAGCTCTATTGGCTTGAAAACTGTTAGCTCTTATATCTTAATCTATGTCTTTCATGGAGCAGTATCCCTTGCTCTAGTAGTTGTATCATGCACTGAGGAATTTTAGTTAAAAGTTAAAATTGATGTGGTTTGCTTTCTCTGAGGACTCATTATATGCTGTCGCTTCATTTATCAATCCTTTTACGTGTTATACTCAATGCCAACTTCAATTCATCAATCATAGGACCTCAGTCTTCATTTTGCAGTTCATTGCTTTCTCCTGTTAGATGATCATTGTTGCTACTGCTAACTGTTCCCAGCATGAGGATTCCTTCAATCTTATGCGGTGTAATGCCTGAGATAAAACTTTCAGAACCTAAGATTGAACATTAAGTCAATGATCTTTCTAATAATATTCTTCTTTTAGCATCTCCACGAGATCAATTAAGTTGTTTTAAGCATGATAATAACTAATCAAACATGTGGCAGTCAGTGACTTGAGGAAAATGACAATGATTTCATAACTAGTTGTGTTCGCAAACCACCAATGTTTTCAAGTCTAAACTAGTAGCATTTATAATTCATCAGAACAGTTTTGTTAATTTAAGTGCTCGTTTTCCATGGATGAATACTGGTATAAAGTTTAATTTTCTTCTCTTTGATGAAGGTACCTATGGTAACTACAGAGTCAGGTTTGCAGTACAAGGATATTAAAGTCGGTGGAGGCCCTAGTCCACCTGTCGGTTTTCAGGTGCACACAATTGTTTTTCTTATGAGTTAAGTTTTATCTGCTATGTTCCCATAAAACATTTGAATTTGATGTCAGGATTTTGCCTTAATATTAACATTCTTTTACTTCAGGTGGCTGCTAATTATGTCGCCATGGTTCCATCTGGACAAATATTTGACAGGTAAACTTATTAGTCACAAGAACATATCACCAAATTCTGTACCATTGGCATTTGATTATTTGCAATCGGTACCGATTTACTTTGCTGGCCACAGTTCTCTGGAGAAAGGTCAGCTTTATATATTTCGTGTTGGCTCTGGCCAGGTAATTTCTACTAGCAGTTTCCAATAAATTATGATTTTAGAAAACTTTTCAACTCACCCTCAAACAAGAATAAATGCAGTTCCATGGCATAGTGGCAATTCTTAGGCTTTATCCAAACGACTTAAAGTTATCCTTGTTTTAAATTCAATACTGTTCTTAGCTTTTCGGTCTCAAAATGAAAATAGAGTGGTTCGTTTATAGAATATTGTGTTTCTACACTTCGCTATATAGTTGTAACCTGCGGTGCAGAAATTGGTGAGTTTTCAATTTAAAACTCTCCAGTTTCTACTAGAAATGCATTTAAATATCACAGCAACTGTAGTATTATCAAGTATCTGTGTTCTATCAAAATTGGACAAAAATTAGCATACCTTGAAGTCAGCAGTACTGATTGTTAATCTAAATGAGTAGAACAGGTGATTAAGGGACTTGATGAAGGCATCCTGAGCATGAAAGTAGGAGGAAAACGCAGACTCTACATTCCAGGGCCAGTAAGTTCTCTTTCACTTCCACTTTGATGCTCAACTTTCAAGTGAGTGCAATCTTAGGCTGATGGTAGATTCATTTCTCTATTAAATCATAGAAATTTGAATCTCTTTTACCTTAGCGATATAACAGTTCCCCTTTGTATAAAATGGCAATCTCACCATTTTTCTTTCTTCTGC